ATTTCTTTAACTAGGTGTGGCTACTGGAAGATATTGGAAATTACCTAACAAGATTGAAAAGCTATATAAGAACCTGAGGTTCACCATTAGTCATCTTTTTCTGTACGAGTAAATACAAAATCAAGATCAAAAGAAAGAAAGCATTGAGCAAGATACTGGATTTGAGTAGGCGATAAGTACCTCAGACAATCACAAGAAAATAATCAAGAGTACGAATGAATAAGTTTCTCAGATGATTAGGAAGAATAAGGATATCCCAGAAGGGTTGACTCCTAATGAGAAGAGGTTTTTAGTAGAGGTTCTTTGAAGGATATGGAGCATTTTAATTTTCTTTTTTCTTTTTATTTTCATATAGTGTGTTTGCATATTTTTAGATATACTTCTTTTCTTTTATTTTTTCTTTCCTCTTTTGTAGTTTTTCAAATTCAGGATAATAAGTAGTGACAACCTGTTGGCAATAATGGGTAAGTTAGGAGAGTCTTCACCTAAAATTTAGTTTAGAGCAAAATATTATTCTCAAGATTGCACTTAGAGGTTAAAGCTCTTTTGAGAATTGAAAGCCATTGACAAGTGTATCAATACGAGTCTTTTAGTTTAGTCATGATGAAATTACTCTATGTATCTCTATCAGTTTCTTAATAATTAATAAATACACAGTACTGGTTTGATTACAGGTATTAAAAAAAAAAAAAAAAGTAAATAAAAAGTTAAATCTTAAAAACTTTTTTTTTTTACTAGTTTTATTTTTTTATAATTATTTAATTTTTTTATTTTTTAAAAAAATTTTGCTTATTTAGTTTAATATTAAATTTTGAAATAATATAAATTTTGATAAAAATAATTTATTAATATAAATAAACTCTTATTGATTATAATATATATTTTAATAATATTATTAATAAAGAAAAAAGTTTATAGATAATTTATTTTTATTTTATTTTTTTGATTTATATAATATATTAATTAAATTTTTAAACAATGAGATTTTCAAATTGTATATATAAAGGTTTCTAAAAAGCAAGGATTTAATAGATAATATAATTAGAAGATTAAGTTAAAACATATAAGTTTTTCAAATGATTAAAAGAAAAAAGTATATTTCAATAAAACATTCTTATTGAAAAGAAATTTTAAAAAATAAATCTTTAAATAGATTTTATTCTTGATTATTTTTTCTTTTTTATACATATTTACATATTTTTAAATATTTTTTTTTCTTTTTTCAATCTATCTTCTTTTGTAATTTCTTGTATTTTAATAATTTGATAAAATATATGACAGTAATAATCTATTAACTATGATATGCAAACTAAGACAGTCTTTATCAAAGTTTGTTATAGAATAAAATATCATTCTTAATATCAAAAGATTATTATTACTTATAATGAGTTAGACCTGATTTAAAAAGTTTAGCTATTACAGTATATACTTGTATATCATATTATTCAAATGAAAATAACTTGAAATCTAACAAAAATTTCTAGAAAACAATATTTTATAATATTGTATCTTTGATATTACTCATTTTATAAATTTTTCATTCTATTATAAAGAGAAGAAAATTGATTTAAGAATACTCAAGCCAATTGAAAAACTGAAAGAAAAATAAATACGGATAAAAAATATTTTTAAATAGTAAAGGAGGTATAATATCTTAAAAGAATATTGCTTCGAAAAGAATAGTAGAACTGTATAATCAAGATTTTAACAATATTGATAATAGACGTAAATTTATACCAACGTTTTAATATACTAATAAATAAATAACGATACTTATAAAGAAAATAAAACAAGATATTATCTTGAATCATAGAAATTGATCAATCGATTCAAGTCAAAAAAGGTTATATTAGTGATGTCAAATTGCAGCTCAGCCAAATTCTCAAAGTCGTACGTGCATGTAGTCCGAATCTTTCGTTCGGTTCTAAAAAGGGTGGAAAAAGTCTTAAATATTCGATTTACATGCGTTGTGTCGAAATCGGGTGCATACTTTGTGTGACCGAGAAACTATTCCAAAAAAGAGGTCAAATGTAGAATCTACACCCAAATATTTGTAAATATTCGATTTACCTTCTTTTCCGAATCAATTGTCGAATATAAAAATTTGAAAATTTCAAGAACTACGTATGCATAAAAAAGGTCATTGTAACCGTTCTTTTCCTTTAATGAATCACAACGCAGCAGACCAGGATTCATCAGGTTCTCATAGGTCATCACACTTTATCGCCCGTGAAGGATATCCGCCTCAATGGGATGATTATACGGCACAAGGTATTCTACAATGTTACATTAAAAACATTCTATATCACTCACCGACCAACTACATTTACGATACGATATAGATCTCGAAATACTTTCCGATATCACCACGCTTGCTACTCATACCAGTCGTGCTTTGTCTAGAGACACACCGTTTTCTTTCTTAAACATATTTCGAGCGTATGATGTCGTACTTAAGACCCGAAAAATCGATCCAAACACGGACGCCATCTATTATCATTTTTTATTAAAGCTGGTCTTGATACCTGGCGATGATTGGAGCGAAAAATTTGAAAATTTCATGAGGGTAAAGATCAAGGCAATTTTATGTTTGATGTCGAGTTTATGATTTATGATTTACGCGAATTTCATGAATACTGTATCTTTCGACCTTACAAGAGTCTTGGGTTATCGGCCGGGGACGAGGAGAATGGTTGGATGTTTCTCCGACGCGACATTGCATTCGGTGACCGCGAATTACTTGAAAGTGATAGAAGTTCGGTAAATATCACCACAGAATTTGAATCAGGGCGAAACGCGCTCAATCTTTCTCTGCCGATGACACCAACGGAATCTTCAATAAGGGTAGATAAGAAATTCTTTATCTTTGAAAAAGTCTTTTTAGAATTTCGGTTATACCAGCATTCCGCACTTCAAATGACAGAACCGCGCGCCAAGAAAAAATGCAAATGGCGATAATCGAGTGCCGACAGAGTCCAATTGCCGGTCTGCTTCCGTGAAGAATTTAAATAACGAGAGACAACCATTAAAAGATAATAACTCCATATTTTTTGGTTTCAAAAGCCCGGAACACACACTAGAGGTAAGGAACAAGGATATCGAAAGCTAATTGCGGTAACCAAGTAATTTTTTATGTCTCATCTCATCAGACCCCGATCTTCAACTTTGCGTCTTCTCTGAAAACTGTAAGAACGGAGGTAATAAACTACAAAGGACTACCATGTTTTAGTCTATCCATTAGTATTTATTGGTCATATCATGCAGGCTGGAACTTCGAAAGGACCTGATAACGAACCCGACGGTTTTGAGAATCTACATATATCATCATTTAAAAGATCAAATGAAGGAATTATATTTAAAGAAACTGGGAAAAAAGGGCAAGAGCTTGATGCACATGATTCAGTTGCCTCAGACAATGATGGAAATTTTTATTTCGACCAATCAGTTCGGTCAAACTTGTCGGAAGATAAATTATTCGAAAAAGTCGTGAGGCCGCAAGAAACAGGCAACCGTCAACCAGTCAACTTTGTAAATAATAAACTGTCGGAAAAAAATACAGTAAATACGTATATACCAATAAAGTTGGAAGAAAACACTAAACATTTAGACATTACATCAAGAACGGTAAGACAATCGGAGATGATAAATGAAAACATCACTATAATAAAAACATCAGATGAAATCAAAGATCATCAGGAATTAGAAAAAAGGAAAGAGCATCAAACTGGCAAGATATCGGGGATTAATCCATCGAGGGAAATGTCTAACTTAAAAGGATGCATTGGATCACCACGCGAACCCGTGACTCCCCTGATAACGAAGGATGACGTGGAAAGTGTAAGTACGTCATCAAGCAAGAATGTGTCACAATCTAAATTGCAGATAGCATCTCTCGACTCCATGCATTTAGAGAAATCTGATACTCCAGAGAGTATATCGGAAATGATATTGGACAGTCAAATGTTTGAGGAAATGCATGGACATTCAATTGTAACGGCACCAGAATCGACATCACCAAATGAACTTCGTGTCAGTCGAGATTTGGAAGAAAGTACCAAGATCACGATCGATAGTGATTCAGACGTTATGGAGAAAGATGAATCAGTGGATGAAGAAGGAATAGTGAAGATACATGAATATGATGATAATGATAAAACCGCCTGGTCGCAAGATCATCAAGATATGATGGAATGTGTTCGGGTGGTCTTTGAAGGGTGGCGGAGGTACATTTGGTTTATGAGGGAGTTCCTTTCCTGTCTTTATCTCAATATTGATAAGGTTTTTTTATTCAATAAACAGATACACACACGAGATAAGGCAATATCGAGCACGAGGAATTCATCAATGGAAAATGGCTACATACGTGAACCAAAGAAATATTTTGAGATATTATTTTCAGCGATGGAAAAATGCTCATCTAAAAAAATCGGTATTTCGTTTCTCAACCGGAAACATGTTTATTATATCTTATCTCGTTAACCTTTCACATTTTCTTTTTAGCCCGTAACGAATCTTCTAAATTCAAAATGCGACGAGTTTATAAAGAGTAAATGTTTTTTAAAATGGCGCGAACGAAAAAATGGTATCATGTATTATCATCAATATTTTGGACATCAAAGTTGATCTGCAAAACCCTTACCAAAATTCTATTTAAAGCTTCCAACCTCAAAGATCTCGCTATAAATTTCGAAAAGTCACACAAATTGAGGAAGTACTTCTCTCGCTGGTTGTTCCGGTTAGAAAAAAGAATTGGATTTATGAATGTTTATTCTATCCCCATTTTAATAAGACAAGTATGATTATTTTAGCACGAAGGGTTACAAAGAACTTCTAAAATCCGCAAAACAATATGATATCTCATGCTGCAAGAAGGTGCTATTTAACAAGCTTGCAAATAGGAGAACGAACACGGTAACGAAATCGAAAGACGAAGCCATGTTAGCGGAGACTTATAAGATATGGAGAACAAAATTTATATACTCTCTGCTCACCGGTGCTAATAACTATAATTTAATGCAGAAATATTTTACCATTTGGAGAATATCCTTCTATTAAAATTTGTGGGAGTTGTTCTTCAATCTTTTCTTAGCCTTAGAAAGCATGCTTCAAAATCTGACCTTGACTTGTGAATACGATAAATATTATGATAAACTAATTTCGAATTCACAAAAGCAAAGCGTCTTCGATGCTACAACCGAGGAAGAATTGTTGTCCTGTGCTTTTAATAAGTGGAGAGATCGTTATAATAATTACGTCTGTTTAGGTGAAATGGCTGAAGTAAGTCGGTGAAGTTTATCATACTCGAGAGCTCCTTGAAAATCTATTCATGATTCTCATCCTTGTATCAAAGGACGATTATAATAGCAAGTTGATGAGTGCCGCATTTCTTCACTGGAAGATGGTGACACGAAGGAAGAAAGCTATGTTAAAGGCCGCCGAGGATGTTTTCATGAATCGATATATGCTCCGTTGGTACAGTCGGTAATATGTGAATTTTAATTAAATTATCGACTTGATGAGTATTCTTCTTTTACATGACACGTGATTTATTATCGTTTTTAGCTTTATACAAAAATTCATGCAAAAGCAGAAACAAAAAGAATTACTGGAAAAAGTCTTTTGGGGTAAGGAAGCAAACAAAATTTCCAAGGTTAGTTCTATTATTTACTCTTGTGAATTTCTTAGAATGGCACAAATGGGCAGAAGAGATTTGCAGAAAGCGATTATCTCTACAACACGATCAACGTGAACAGAATCCGTCGATTACAGTTGGAACTAAATTATTAGAAGAATCATCTGACAAATTATTGATTAATTCATCGGATGCCATTATGACCTTGTGAAGTAAAAATTTATCGGAAATAGTGATGCATTACTTTTGTTTTTGCCTCCGAAGGGTTAACACATAAATTAGTGTTAATTTTCGATCTCAATGTGAGAAAAAAATTTTTTGAATTGATTATGTAATATAATAAATGAGATGGATTCTTTATAAAAAGCATAATGTTTTTGATTTTCAAATATACTGTAAGTTATTGATTTTACAGTCCCGGAATCGAAACCTCAAAGATGCTGAATTACCCGGAATCGAACCATTTTCATATGATGATTTCTGACTATCAAAAAGAACAATGGTCAAATCGATCATTAGCTATTACACTATTACATAAGCCTAATTAACTGTATGTTGATTATTCCGAAACAAATGGTTACATAATTTAAACAATTTATATTAATTTTATACATTATACTTGTAAAAAAGCTTCTTTTTTTTTTTTACATTTTAGTTAATTTCTAAAATAGCATAAAAAAAATTTAAAAAATTACAAATATCTTTCGAATAAAAAAATTTATTGTCAAATTAATTTCATGCTAAATTTATTAATAAAAAAATTGAAAAATAATAATATTTTTTTTATTAACTATAATTATGTTACAATGACTTGTCTTTATTGAGAAATTAAAACAAATCTATAATAATTTACAGACTTTCACAAAGTAATAACTTATCTTCATAACTAAGTATTTTAAGTTAGATTTTGAAAACAATATTATATTTCTCTAATATAATTGAATTAATCTTTATCTATCAAGATCATTGTTAATAGTTTGTCATTATTGATTGATTTGAAAATCAATAAATTGTTAAGTTAAAAAAATAATAATGATAATTAAGGAAGAAAAAGAATTCAAGATTTATTTAAAAAGTTCAAAAATAAAAACAATTACTTATTAAAAATTTTTTATTTAATTAGTATAATCTTTTTATTTTATTTAAATCTTAAAAGAGATCTTCTTTATCATTACCTATAGTGTCAAACAAATTAATCCAAATGATTTTTTATTTAAATGAGTACTATATTGAAATATTTTAAGAAAAATATTTAGATTTTAACTTTTATTCATTAAAGATTTGTTACTATTCGAAAAACTTAAGTAAAAAATAAAAGTCTATAATTTATACTGTATTACTTATTATTTAGTTTTTTTATATTATAAATATTTTTATTAAAAGACTTAATATTCTAAAGGATGAATATTTTTAGAATATTCTTTTTAATTACTAATAATATTAAAACACATAAATATAATTAATAAGAATTTGTTTATATTTTAAAAATCAATATGTTTTATATTGAATAATTATTTTTAGTAAAAATTCATGCTATTTAAAATTCAGAATCAAATTAAGATAAACAAAATTCCTTAGAAATCTATAAAAATAAAAGCTTTAAAAAAATTAACCTAATTAAAAAGAAAGAAAATAATCTTTTTTTATTATAAAAAATCTTTATAATTCTTTATTTTATAGATTAAAAAAGTTTTTAAATTCTAATCAATTTAACTTTCTTTAAAAACTTTTTTGCTATTAATATTAATATTATTATTTGATTTTTCTTATTCATTAGAAGTCAAGTTTTTGAGTAAAAATAGAAAAAAACTCTTTTTTCTGATCTCTTTTTTCCTTAAAAATTTCCTTTTTTGATAATTTTCTTGGAAAAGAGAAGCCAGCCTAAAAAACACCTTATTTCTCAAAGATTAAAGACTTAATAACAACCTAGAATATTCAACCATTCCCTCAAGAGATCACTCTATTGATTAACAGAAGTTTTGACAGTACAGCATTACAATAGCTTTACTTTACAAGGGAAGGAAAACACATCTACTAGCTGATTTACAGTAAGCTTAGGAGAGTCCAATATCAACTTCCCAAGCTTCTAGCCAGGCCAGTGTCAGTTTACACCTTTCTAGGC